GACTTCACATGACGCACCCCGAACATTTTCAAATTTACCCCAAAAAACGGCTCCAAATTTGTTCTTTAAATTTCTTATAAAAATAGAGTACGATACATCGATAAATGTGGCATAGGTTCGATTTTCACAGTTAACTCTGATTCTTCGAAAATTGTAGAAATTTGAATATTTTCCACGTCTTCCTACAACTACAAATTTGAACAAAGAGGTTTTTACTACAAATGAAATTTGTTGTCCATAATTAGTTCTTTCATTAACGGCATGTACATTTATTACAATTTTTAGTAGTTTTCGGGCAATATTGCATTAAAAAAATTACAGAAACAAGATTTTCTCGTAAACAGTCTCCAATTTTTTCTTTAAGCTTTTGGTAGGTACACTGTTAAATATACTCTATGAGAAGACATAAACGCCAAATTGCTCTATTCCTTTTTTCAAAAAATTACAAAAATGTGATTTCTTTGACGTGTGTCGTTAATATTTATATTGGCGACGATTTGTTCACATTATTGTATTTACATGTTATTTAAATAATATCATTGTGGCGACATACGGGTGTAATCGAACACAGACGAGAGCGGTTTGTAACACAGATTTATTAACAACCTAGACCGTAGTCTCAATTTAACAACTATCCTGCTCAAAATAAACTAAATAAATAGACCCACTACAAGGAGAGATAATTTAAGAACGGTTACCACACCGCAACATACCACCGATGTTCCCTGTATGAAGCCGCTCTACTTTGAGACCATCTACGCGTCTCGCAGGTCACGCCAATGAATTGCCGGCCACTCGCCCTAGTGCACCTACACGCACAGACACGCGCTTCGCCTGTCGCCGACGCCGCAAGCACAAGAAGACTTTGGCTTTGTTCTCCTGGCCTTTATATAGGCCCTTTGGCTCTACCCGCCGCCCCCATTGCCTCCTCCCCAAAGCCTCTCTGGGCCCGCTACGTCCACGGAAAGTCCCAGTGCGTCATCACTCCGCTCTTTGTTTAACATCCGGCGGTTTGAGCGTGGCACGTCGCTACAATCATATAAAATTTTTCGAAAACTCAACCATTTTCTGTGAAAAACGAGCTCAAAATTTCGCATTTTCAGAAACGCTTAATCGTCGTTTTCTGAAAAACTGCTCCAAATTTTGTATTCAAACTTTTCGAACGGATAGTGCTAATTGCATTGTTATGATTAATATGACGCAAAGTAAATTTTGGGGTATTTTTTGCTTTTTCTAAAATTATACAATATTGGTATTTTTTGGAAGATCTCTCACGCCGGTAATATGCACATTTCCACCAATTTGTAAACACTATTGTGTTTGTGGGTTAATGTGCGTTAAATGACTTCTAATGAAGTTTTTCGCAGACTCAAAAATTTTCTGTGAAAAAAAAAAAAGCTTCAAAATCGACATTACAGTAGTGCTTAAAAGGCGTTTTCAGAAAAACTGTTCCAAATTTTTCAAAGAAAGTTGCCAATTAGGACGAAGTCATTTTTCATTGTATCTCGTACATACCTGAATTTATCATTTATAAATTAATATCCTCCCGACGTTGCCACCAGATAACTACTTATTAATAGCACGATGGTAAAATGTCATAATATTTTGTGAATTAGATATTTTTAACAAAATACTCGATTTTATCATTTTTCTTTTTTTTGCTTTACAGTAACGAAAACACGATTTTCTTGAAAACAGCACCAAATGTTTTCTTTAAAATTTGGTAGGGAAGTTCTACACGTACTCTATGAGATGACATAAACGCCGTTTTGCTTTTCTTTTGATTTTTTCCAAACTTACAAAAAAAATTGACCTTTCTCTCATGCCGTTAATATCTACATTAACAGCGATTTGTTCACATTATTGTTTAATGAGTACACGTCCATTAAATAATGTCATATAAGGTTCCTCAAAAACGGAACTCTCCTCGTCCTCGTGAGGCTAGTAAAAAAATCATATTTTTGTAATTTTTGCAAAAACCTCTGAATAGAGCCAAATGGCGTGAAAGTCATCCAACAAAGTACATTTTGCACTATCCCTATCAAAAGTGAAAAGATAAAATTTAGAGCCGTTTTCAAGGAAACCTTGTTTTTGTTACTTGTTTAATTGCACATATTGCACGCAGTATCTTGCAAAAACTACAAATATTTCAAAAAAATGTATATGACACTATTGAAAAAACTAAATGTGGAGAATAAACATTAATTGAAGGAAACACCTCTATCTTGAATGTTGTAGTTAAACGAAACACGGGAAAAAATCACACTTTTGTAATTTTCGAAAATTTGGAGTTAACTTGAAAATCGGACGTATGTCACCTAAATAAGTGTATTTTATTCTATTCTTACAACAAATTTAAAGAAAAAATTTTGAACTCCTGAAAAAAAATTGAAAATGTCTTGGGCTTCATGTCAAGTACCCTCAAAGTTTAAAGAATGTTTTTCAAATGCTCAAAGCTGCAACTCGAACCAGTTCAACTGGGGTTTCTTCAATTTGTTTTCAACTTTTTCAGAACCCAAAACATGTATTTCCATTTCAATTTCGAAATCGGTTTTCGCAGCGTTACATAACTGTACTCCGTATATGTGTACACGCATATATATATTTTAAATTGCGCCTTTTAATTGAGTTAAATGTGAAAACCAGTAGATTATTTCGCTTTGCATAATAAGATGGGAATATAAGACTATATATTCCATTACTGAATTATGTTAATGAAGAGCAATGTACGAGTAATTTTGATGAATATAAAAATATGTTTATTGAATTTTTATATCCTTTCTTCCTACCTGTATCAAGAATGCTGTTTTGCAAAACGTGTATCCCATACGAATTAGCCCTTTTTGCTTATTACAACCCACTGTTGCACTGATAACAGAATATGATACTAACAGCTACTTTTCGTTCGTGTTAATGTAAACTAATACTTTTATTTACTGGTATATGTTATAATAAAGATATTTTATGTGATTTTGTTCAGCAGCATTCTTGTTGCTGCAGGTCAATACATTTTAATCAACATTCTCCAACTATAACATTTTTAATATTATAATTCAGCAACTTCAAAGTAACTTAGTAATAAAACACAGTTCTTAGGTTGTACTTTTATTAACTGTCTTTAAGGAAAATAAATGTTCAACATGCATTGGATTACAAGCATGGAGTGTGAAACATATTCAGACTAGTTCATCAATGAAGACTTCCCATTTTGGAAAAGACTAAGAGAACATTAATACAATTATTCTCCTTTAAACAAGGCACCAAAATAAAGTAACAGATCACAGAATTTCAGTCAGGTCTTCACAAGTATCTGTACATTTGAGAGAGAGAACCTCCTACTCAATGGTTTTCATTACACTACACTTTCAAACCATTTCCTCTTACTTCCTTGTATTGTAAGAAATATCCAATAAGCAACTTTTATTTCTTTACAAAAGAAGGGATTCAGACAGGATATCAACAAGATTTAACAAAAACTTACAAACCTGAACTCACTGAAGCACATAAAAACTACAATCAACAAATACATGACATGGCAAAACCTATAAACATTTTTATAATAATTTTGATTTCAGAAATATAAAAGTTTCATCATGTTAACAAATGAAAGTAATTTTCATTTAATCTTTACATTTAATTTTATTTGCAGCACAAACCAGCTCAAATTTTATTAACCATTTTTTCAGCATTCAAATTAATATAAAAATGTTGAGATGAGATTATACTTTAACCATTTAAAATCACAGTTTTCGTGAATAGCTTCCTTTTGTTACTATGATTTTGAATAATTAATCCCTAAGATAAACAGATTATGCATTGTTTCTTTTAAAAAATTCTTCAATTTACACTTGGCTACCTCATCCTATTAACATGACTGCCACCAGAGAACTAGTCTTGAGCTCATTTTCTGGGTGAATGGTATTTTCTATGGTGATTCAGCATAATGAAACCAAAATGAAAAAGATACCAATTTAAATGTGGCTAAATTTGGTAATAAAAGCGAATTAGCATTGTTGGGCCTCTCTTGTGCTTAACTTTAAAATCAACAAAATTAATTACTTGCAGCATTTTACATGGCATGTCTAAATCATTCCACATACAATTATACATTTGAACTATGAATTATTAGTATTATCAGCATTTATCTTCAATGGATCACTCAGAACTCTGCTGTGAAAAGTATTTTTAAAATACAATAATTTGAAATGCTTATATTTTTGAACAAAAAGAAAGCATAACACATTTAGCCACAAGCCACCACTGAAACACAAGTGTGAAATTAATTGCAAATACAATGACAAGTAATGTTTCAAGTAGTAAAGGGATCTGTTCTGAAATCCATGTAAGCCTAATCAAAATCTTATCAGAAACACATACTCTAAAATAGTATATAATTTTTCTAATTATCCCCATTACAGATATTCAACTTATTTTAATATTAATGAACTACTTTCAAATAACAAATCCAATTTTCCTTCCTAGTTCTACAATTCACATTTTGTTAAGGCCTAATATATTACTGACAATAATATCCTTTTTATAACTTTTTTGGGTGAGATAATGATACATTTCTGGGATCTAAATGCTGTTTTCATTTGTATTTAAACTTCTTCCCGAATTGAAGCAAATGAAAAATGGCAGTGTTGTTTGACATATGATTATTTATAAACAAGGATTCTAGAAGATAAATAGATACAATTATAGTTCAATACAAAAGTACCTGTTGGTAATATGCATTCAAATCCACAGGTTTTTGCTTATTCATCCAAAGTTATGAGAATTACTGACCTCTGCCTCAGAGATGTGGGGTAGTTCTCACAATTTCGTCTATTACATTACATTAAAATTATATAGTATTACATTAAAATCATAGTCTTGCTATTTTTTGGTGAAGATTTTGTTAAAAAACAACAAAAGGTTGCATGTAAATGCACTGTAATGTCATTATCTTTACCTCTCTAAGGCACTTAACATTTTTGTTAAAAATAAATAAAAATAAAATAAACAAGTAATTTATTTTTAATCTACTTTATATCGGTAAAGAAACAGACTGCCTCAAAATAACATGAACTTGTACTTATTATTTCATTATTCTGTGCATATCCCATGCTTTTTTGCTATGAATAAGTGTCCAAGATATATAACAATTGGATATTCAATAGCAATAATGACATTTTTATTTAAGCCTTATGAAAAGATTATATTTTCCTCTTCTGGGGTTTCACAGAATATGGATTCCATATATAATATTGATTTCAATGGATTTTACAACATTTTCTGAATATTACGAAATATATTTTAAGTTCAAATACATTTTTAGGCACACCTAATGATGTGAATAATTAACTCATGAAATATTGGGTAACAAATGCTATTTTCAATTTAAAATAAAATAACAAAAAATCAAATTTCCTGTAAGAACATTAATTGATTATCTTTAAATTTTAATAAAAGGACCTTTTCTTTTAATACTGCCACCTAAGACAAACACTGTTGGTGTAATTCTACCAATCCTAATTGAAAAAAATGGAATGTTGAATTTCCATGTCATGTCACAGAATAGGAAAATCATTTTGAAGCAATAAATATTTTGAAATACAAACAACTTGAAACTTGAGAACTAAAATTCAATTAATATTTTCTGAAGATGTTTTCTAGTTACTTGTTCTTCATATTAACTTCTTGATGAGATCTTGAGCATAGTGGAGGAATAGTGGTGGAATTCAAGGCATTGTGGAGGAATACATAGGAATTCAGTAGCATGCATGACAAAATGAAATGGATACAAAGCAGCACTAAGGCAAGTGTCGTTCTGGGTGGTAATCCTGATGTTAAGTCTTTAAACACTACAAAAATGTATTGAATGAATTACTCGAAATACACTGATTAAAAAATTCAAATACAATACAACTGAACTTAGAACACTCATGCACAGCAGACTTGCAGCATACTGAACCACTCTTAAGCAACATGTCTATTCTAGTAATTGAATTAATATGTGTTATGTTTACAAGGATCACTTTTACTTGGGTTTCTGCTGCAATGCATGCACAGATTTTCCTTTCATAAAATTAAGCCAGGAAAGAGATCAGAACGTCTCCATTATGGCTTCCTCCCTCCAGTTCTTGTGGCCTTCCTGGCAGGTTGCTAATACTACCTTCTAAATTCAAAAGTCTTACAATGGAAAAACAGTGTGATCTATTGAAAATAAATGCAAAATTCTAATAATTCCTTTCTTGTATTTTTCTTCAATAGGTCAGTGTCTACCTAGTTTTCTCTTCAAGCTACACCCCTGTTTGTATAAATAGTTCAATACTATGTGTTTAGACATATTCAATTATTGGACAGTCACACATTTGCTGAGAGGCCCTGTAATTCTAAGCAATCTGGAAGTTCAATAAGTTCTCTTGCTCTTCACAGAATGTGAATTTCAAACATAATTCCATTGACTTTGCCTATTGCTCTAAAGGCATTTCCATATATTTGGAGAGAGAGAGAGAGAGAAATGAATTACAGGATTTGTGGTTCTTGCTTGACATAGTGACACCCAAAACCAACCAGTTCTTTTGTGAACATTTGAGAGAGGTATCTCAGAAAAAAAACCACATAAAAACCCTTCCTGCCTTTGGGATTTAATGAACAGTACAGGAAGCAAACTGTTAGTTTACAGAATAAACTAATAGCAAGCCGATGTGAAGTAATTGATTTCCTTTCGTAGTATTGCACTTATTTCTCCAGATACAAAATTCTTTAACAGATACTTAATTTTGGACCAACAATATATTACCTCCGCACATTCATACTCACACTATCTTCACATTCCAAAATTTAAAATATACATTTTTTCTTGTCTACTTGGTTGCAAGGCTCAAGATGGACTCTCATATACGTAGTTCATGGTAATTTTCTATCACAATACAAATAATAATAATAATAATGAAAAAATAATACCATAAGCCAAGAAAACACAACAATTACCAAGCTGTCAAGTTTTAAACAAGGGAGCAATACAACAGAGGAGTGTTTTAGATCAACTCAAGACAATGAATTAAATATTGCAATCTATAACTGAGGAGTTGATAATGTTGAGAAAAAATTGACAAAGGAGACCAGAAGCTTACTGTAGCACTCACTTGCACAAAGTCACTCTAGCAGTTGTGAATGACGACAGAAGAGATGTGTTTTTTCAGCAGGTTCATGGGTACCCCAGCATGTTAGCCTTGTTGCAAGCTGACCTCACAGTGCACTGAAGTTTATATTTTTCAGCCAACAAGCAAACTAATGACCAATTTTTAATCATATTAAAGGTGGCAGATTCACAATTAATAAACCCAATTCTTGAGAATCAGCTGATTGGATATTCAGGCAAAAAGTGCAGCAATGTGAGACAGCAACCTCAAGACTACCTTTGGGTTGAATCTCATTCCTTAACCACACAGTAAATTAATTTCAACAAAAACACTGAAAAGTAGAACTTTTTGATGTAGGCTCTTGTTGGAGTATATCACTCCCCTAAAAAATGTTGTACATGGTCAAACCAAAGCTTTTTTTGCTACTAGCTGATCTGAACTAATAAATGCAAGTTTCACTATTACAGATTTTGGTTTCCACTGGGAAAATATAAGAAATTGTAGTTCATTTGAACTACATAAGTATACGTAAAGATTATTGTCAATCTAAAACAGAATTCAATGAAATAAAGCCAAGTTTACTATCATATTATTTCTCAACACAGCTAAATTCTTGTCAATATGTAACACTATTCCAATGTCACGTACCCCAGATAATTAAACATTCCTCTGCAACAAATTTAAAAGTATCAGATCAAAGGGTGACTCAATTGATTCTTACTACCCTAGGTCAAAGGACTACTGAAAAGTCTAAATAAATTATGTTCCTGGACATTATTATTTCCTTCTGTTTTGTACTTTTATAAAAATGTTAAAATACTGTGACTTCATTCTGCCTATTTATATTGAATTTCATTCAGATGTAGAGTACGTCAAATCAACATGTGATAGCTAAATGTTAAAAAACCTTTCACGTGTACAAAAACAATGAATATCTTCTATTTCTAATTTGCTTAGCAAAAGGTGACATGGTTAATAGCATTTGTAAATTACCACACCTAAATGTTACAATACTCATAATACTGCAGCTACAGTGGTCCTACGCACCAACATAACAATTGAAGGTTTGACTTCATTTCTATGAAATGTTTTGCCACACCCTTCTTCAATCATAAAATATTAGGTGAACGGTATCTACACTATGCTACTCTGGAATATCACCACATACAGTAAAAGAAAACATAAAAACCTGAACCATTTCTGTTTTTTGTGTGGTTAAACTCTTTTTTATTCATTAAATGAACTATTTAAAAAAAATACTCATATTTTGAGTAATTTTTTTTCACATTGGAATACATAAAATTTTGTTAAAATTAGAATGCAAGTGGCATGTGCACACACACAAAAAATTCTTCTTAAGAATTTCCATTCTTTCTAAACCTTACATGTCAAGGTCAAAAATCAATTCATTTTTCAAATCAACTTTAGGATTTTCATTTTTAGTCACAGGGGTCACCACAGGTTTATGGATTTTCTTTTTACCTTTGCTTTGAACTTGTCCAAAACGATTTTTCTTGTTTGTAGTCTTGGTCTTTTCATCTTGAAGTTTTAGTTCCACTTCAATGACTTCCTCTACGTCATTAATTTCAGGTGAATCATCATCACCATTTACATCATCATCTCCTTCACCTTCTTCATTCTTTTCGATCTTTACTTCTTTATCATTATCCTTTTCAATTTCACCTTCAGAATTCTCACTTTCACTTGCTCTTCGCTCCTGTGCGCGTTTCTTGTTGCGAGTTTTTCTTTGATTCTTTTTTCTTTGGCCAAAAATGCTTGAATTACTTCTGCAATACAAAACAAAATACCACACATGAAATAAAATATACACTACCAACAATGCTGCATGTGGCAGTTTGCCTAATACTTACCTGTATGTTTGCTGATGGACAATCTCATTAAAACGAACAGTTTTTTTCACCCCTCGACCCTCTTCTTCAGGTATACACGAATCAGAGCCAGACTGCATGATCATATCAAGTGATGAAGACCATGTGTAATCATCAGCACTTGATTCGGATAAACTGCGACTAACACGCTTCAAAATTCCTTTCTTCGAAGGGCTAAAGCTCTGAAATATACATTAAATTCGCAAATATTATTTTAAACTACGTTATGCAAATTCATTTACTAATAATAATTCAAATAGCATAGAAATTTTGGTTAAAATAGAAGCGTAAAAGACAATTTCTCAAGATACTTCAATATTCACATTTAAGTAGAATTTTCTTGAATTTTAAATTTCTTTATTACTCAATACAAAAGCATTTGTCAAATTATTAGTAGACTGGCATTTGTTATTCTTGTAATTATAAATGACATTTTATATAATAGTGCATTTTAATGTTTTCTTGTTATGGTTTACAGTTGTTTATATAAAATTTGCAATTAAACTAAAGGGCAATGAACTTTACAATCTGCAGTAATAGTACATGCCAACACCAACACAAAAGCTAAATGACTTTTCCTGACTCTGTGCCAACATGATTTAAATAGAATAGGAGTAAACAAGACACAAACTACTGCTTCTCATTTGACAAATGAGTCTTAAAATACTTTCATAAAAGAATGTTTACAAACAACAGAAAAATTACCATTTCATCTCCACTAGACTCAGATAATGTACGAAACATTGGATGCCTCGATGATTTTTTATGTTCAGGAGGTTCTTGGGCAGTGTTATCTTCTGATGACTCACTACCTTTCTCATCTTGTACATTTTCTATTATTTTCCCAACAGGAGAAATTTCCACAATTGTTTCATCTTTTGTACATTTTGTAACTTCAATTTTCAATTCACTTGGCTCAGAGCTCTCATTACATTCAATCTGAAATTCATCAATATAAATTGAATACAATATGTACTCAATACATAATATGATTTTAATTTTTTGAATACATCTCTTTGTCAATGAAATTAATGAAAGTTACTAAGCTGTCCATGAGAAAAGGCACTCAAATATAAATGCTTCAGCTCAATAAATTTGTAAATTACCACAAAACAAAAAAAAACAACAAAAAAACTTATTGCTTATCACATCTGCTCTTACCTTTAATTCATCCAATTTTTTTGCAATTACTGTAGGCTCAGGAAAGTCATGCTTTACTAAAGTATCTTCATTCACACCAGCAGAATAATCAAGCAAATTTATATCACAGGATTTTAATTGGATTTGTACTATAACATTGTTATCCCAAGTTTCAATGTTCACAGATTCTTCGTCAATAGAGGAACTATTAGGAAATTTGGTACAAAATGCATGTTGGATTGGAAAGAAGCCAGATCCAATGGATGTGAATTTAATGTGAATGCCACAAGAATCTCCAATTAAACAGTGATTCACAGAATTAGGATCCACATTTTTGACATGCAAGGTAAATATGATTGTGTTATCAACAACATTGCAAGTAAATGGAGGGAATGAGTAATGTTTATCATTATCCAAAAAATTGATTGCACTTGGGTTAGTCCGAAACACTTCGTTATCCAAAACACTTACAGATGACTTATTGCTTGAATCTCCTTTCTCATCAACATTTGCATCACCATTAACTTCTTCTATTTTATGAATTACTTTATGACTAATATCACTGTAAAAAGATTCTTTTCTGAGTTCACTGTCAACATTATCATCTTCCCCACTACTGGATCCAGGACTGCGAAAACCTATATCACTTTCTACACCACTATCTTCTCGACCAAAATCAGAAAATGGGGCAACTTGACGATTCTTCAAAGGAAGTGTTATTTGCAATTTACGTTTAGTTTTATCAAACTTTGCATTTCCTGCATCTTCATCAACAATGTAAGGAAGCGAGATAAACAGTTTGTATTTTGCTGGCTTTTCACTCACTAAAGACAAGGATTTTTCAGTAACATCCAGAACAGCTTCTGTTGTAGAACTCAAAAGAGGTAAATCAATTTCAACAATAATTTCTTTAGGCAAAGTGGCATTTAATTTAGCATTTTTGTCATTCAAGAATTCTTGATAGTCCACAACATTGCGATGTTTTATTACATACTTTGGTGTAGTATATGGAGATTTATTTGCAGCAGTCTCAGAATTCTTTTGTGGTCTTTCCTTTGTGTTTTTAGGCACATTTGAGGATTCTGCTTCATTATAAGGATAATTCATTTTAGATAACACATCTTCAAAGTCATCATCCGGCTTGAAATACTCCGATTTTTTTCTAATGAAAGTAGCAGAAGCTAGACCTTTATATTTCATTTTGGGAAACTTAAGATTATTTCTATCGAGTTTCACATTATAATTACTTTCTACTCCTTCAAGAGCAGTTTCGTTCAGCATGTTCCTGAACTGAACATTCCAACTAGCCATTTCCAGAGCTTCTGGATGAAATACAACATCAAAAACAACACATCTTTTTCCAGCAGTATCGAGATCTTCACGAGGTGGGGCTTGAGTATAAGGCAGGGACCACTTTCTTCCAAATGTGCCATCCCTGACGCCGGTAACCGACGAAGGTCTTTGTACCTTATCACTTTGACACACATTTATGAAGGCTTTTTTCTCGTCGTCAACACTAGTTTTAATTACATATCCCGGTTCGGGATTAATAAATGTCACGTCGTACCCTCTTTCCTTTTCTAACTGAGTTATTTCCTTTTGAAATAACTTTTTATTTTCTGGGTCATTAACTTCTTGCACATAATCCACAAGTAATTTTCGAAATTCTTCTTTCTTCAGAGCGTCGCCGATCTGGTCCAATTCTTGTCTCGTTAAATCAAGATCTTCTAACTTCCTACGTCCAGTGTAACCAGCCATCTTTTTCGAACTGCGTTTTAAATCGACTACGTTGTTTATTCTCCCACTATACCCCGAGATTTCGGTCACACGACTCGGATCTCGCATTCGGAGTCGGACACGTAGTTAGACGATAGACGTCCCGAATGCATGAAGTCGTGTTTTGTTGGCATTATCCAGCCTTATCATTGCATCATACGTGATGTGATTTTCAGTAAAGTCACGAAATAATTCACGACTAATATTGACGAGATCATTATTCAAGAGCGATATATTCATATAGAGACGAATACGCCGGCTACACCAGGCAATTGTTTCAGGTCACCCGAGTGTCATATGTTTTCTAACATTTAGAAAACATTAATAATACAGAATACTTTGTGATTTGGTAATTGGGGATCATCGAAAAAATAATATAATGGTTATTAAGTGTTTTAGAAGAAACTTATAAGTTTTGACGCGAAAAATTACGTAAAGTGAAATCTGATCATTTACATCGCCAGATAATGACTAACATTTCTTTATAGGATATTGACTTCAATTATTATTTTTTATGTAAATTAAAAATATACAAAATTAACTTTAAATTAGGTCATTTTTTTAAAAAAAAAATTTAGTCATCACTTGCGATAAGAACGTAGTTAACATGTTCTACCAACATTACATAATTAAAGATACCAAATAAACTCATTCACAATAGTTTTTTGATGTTTCATACGTTTAACTGTATACATCTGTGGTATTATTATATTGTATAAAATAACGTATTTAAATCTGTTTTTCATATAATTCTTTCTTCTTCAAAGTAAAAACATCTTTGTATTGTCAGTGAGTTTGCTGTTGAAAACATACGAACGATGGCGCGGGTTTCAGTGTCCTTTAACCACGGTGCAAGATACACCGTGCTTTTACCTACCAAATGTACAGCCCCATCCACAAAACATTAGTTTTCCTTTGTTACCTTATTTTATTTGAAAAATTTGATTCATATATTTATGTAAGAATTGTGTAATTATTTAACACGTTATATTGTATAGTATCATTATGTAAACTACAAAAAATACTATATACAATATCATAATAAATGTTTATTATTTAACAAAAATCGATGACGGACCCTTCCAAAATAATCGGCTCGAGCCCCTGCTGGCCATATTATTGTGACCACCCGAACTCTGAAATTTCAAAGTTCGTTTCCTTTACACTCCCTTTAAAGTAAAACTTGTCAGTACCTCAGAGAACTGATGTTTTTCAGTATATTCAACTCTTTCATGAATATTTGGCATTCTTTTTTCCCTATGGCAACACTGGCCCTGTGGGTGGCCAAATTGGTTTTGACAGCTTGCATATTTTTTCTTTTTGAGTTTTTGTGGAATAATTGTTCTTTTTGCGAAAAGTACAAGTTTTATAGGTATGTCTATTTAATATTTATTATTTTTAAGTTAGATCAGGCCTGCTTAACGCCTGTTCCCGCGGGCATCCTACTCTTACAATCCGACCGTCTGCATGCGACAGCGCCGAAAGTAGTTCGGGGTAGGACGCTTTGCGGGGAGGCGAGAAGACGTATACGAGCACGTAGCACGACGCGGCGCGTAGATTGAATGTCGGGGAGTCTAATGTGAAATCATCTGCTTATTTATTTAAATGGGTGATGTCCCATATTTCAAGCTACAAGGACCATAATTCACTGTTAACGTTCTTCTGAACATTGCTGCATATCAACGTTTGTATCCAACAATGTAAATGTTTTTAGTCGATGCTCATTGTGACTCTTAAGCAGCATTTTAAAGCCGTGGCCTTTTTTAAATTTATTATTTAATTCTAACTAACAAAAATATTCAATTTAGTAATTTTCTCCAGGAAAGCTCAAATCTCAAAATGATATCATAATGAAAAAAATTATGAGAGCAATCTCTGATTTCAAGATTGACATAAAAAATAATTAAAGGCAATTGCAAGAAGGGTAAAGCGCATATATTTGTGACCATTTCCCCCCATTATGAATATGAAGATATCAACTATCAAACCTCTGTGATGATATGTTACGGACAATTATGAGGTTAGCATATGTCTTGTTAAAAATAATGTAAAGAGCTTAGTATTTTTATACGATATCCTAAATATTGAATAAATAATGTTCGTTGATTTGTTATTAGAAATATATGGTACTCTTGTCAGAAATTAGAGCAGATAATAATTATGATTTTTTTAATAATAATATTTTTTAGCTTTGAGTGAACCGTTTAATTCAATTTAACATATTTAATGAGTAAAGTTTATTGCTATCGTCATCGAAGAAAAATAATTCAGTATCATAATTTTGTTTTTAGTAAAACAGTATGTTTGTGATTACTTCGTAACGAAGCGAAATACATTATTAGTTCTACAAGCAATTATAATATTTGGTGTATAATCAAATATGTATAATTCGTTGTAGTTTCATATTTCACACTGTCTTATATTGACAATAAACATTTTGAATATAATATGAAAACTTTAACTGTATGTGACAACCGTTCTCGTTGATTGCTCTTTCAATTTCCGCGCTATTGTTCGAATTACGAGTTTTAATTGGTGGTCCCCACCCATTCAATTTGCCTCATTCCCACCTCATCTGCACTTGAGTGGCTCAACGCGGCTCTCGAGGTCAATGTGCAAATGCACTGCATGTCTTACTTAGATTTTCGTAATTTTAATGTTTTTGTATGTAATTTATAAAATTTGTAATTTTTTATAGCTTTTTGTATTACTTTCCCTTAAACCTAAGTTTTGGTTTATATGTGTTTTGTTTACCGAACAATCGATTATTGGCAAAACGTCTGCTGTCTGTCTGTGAACAGGGTTGGACAAATTACTTGAAATTTAGTATTTATATATTTCGCCAAAATACTTTATAAATAAGTATTTAAATACATACATAAAATACAGTAGGATTTGATGTGGTAAATACATACGTATTTAAAATACTTCAATTACTCAAAATAATGTAAATATATAATAAATTTGTTTCATACTCTTTTATTGCAACTATATATTGCAATTGACAACAACAGGAAATTAGTAATAGACAGTCATACAAATTTTTGAACAATAACTAAGGTAATGTATTGTAACGTTTCTCCGTGGTCAATTAAAACCAACACAATATTTAAACAATTACGTTTATTCGTGAACAATTATACACTAAAATCTACTTGGTCTATTTACAGATATATTACACTTAATTATTTTTCTTTACACACGATTCCGTTCTCTTGATGATTTATTTACACAGTTCTCTTCTTACACACTATTTTATTTACACCGTTCTCTTCTTCTGCAGTATCACCCAGTCCGATGCTCTGTCCACGGTCCACTGCACTGACCCAATTCCCTGCGCAGACCACAATTCCCTGCGCACACCAGGGTCCACTGCACTGCTGCTTACCACAATGCACCCTTCACAGCACAGCTTCCACTTCGGACACACTGACGGACTGACTGCTTCTCTGCTACCCACTGACGTCTTAACACCCACTGAAATCTACTCACGTCTTCTACTAACTGACTCGCCGCCGCCGGCAGCGGCGCATTTATACCTGCCCGGCGCTTGTCTCTAGGCACCCGGCACATTCTCGGCGTTTCCCCGCGGCTCGCGGATATTCCGGAACCGTCTAGTTCGGGGGGAAGGGAAGGGGCGCCGGCAGATGACGCAATCGACGCGCAGCGAATTCGGCAGGTAACGCAATATTCGTAACAGTATTGTAACCGTTATGTAAACATTTTCAAGTATAAAATAATATTAAAAATAGGTCTAACACAAAGAAATGGAATTTCCTTTTAAAACGGAAACACATAATCAGACAATAAACCCCTAGTTGGCGAATGTATAGAACCTGCAACTGGCGTGTGTTTTTTAACTTGCGTGGATGAACACAAACTAGTGTTATAACAAAAGGCCGTATTCTCGTGTTATCGAATCTTTTGTTTGCTACCTTGAAATTGGATGAAACCTTAACCGAAATTTGAATCATGAAATGGACGTTATTTTAGTACTCGATTTATTTGGCACGAAATTGCACGTTTAGGAAGTTACTGCACGAAATTGCACGTTTTGGCTAATGCTGCCTGAAAATTGCAAATTTTGGGATTTTACTGGAAGAATTTGCAACATTCATAGTTTTATTGCATGAAATATAATTCTTTTGTTATCAACTTTTTAAAATTTTCCTTTTTTAATCGTTTCATATAAGATAACTTAACCAGACAGTGCATTCGGTTGGTCTGTGGAACCTGAGCGCCGTTTAATATGAATCAATTCTGCGTTTTGTTTCCCTTTGAACTGAGCGTCTACACCTTTTATGATGCAATGTTTGAGGAATTGCAGTTCGGAGTGGGGAGACACGGTGTTCACACAAAGTCGGCGCGCAGCGCTTCGTCGCGGCCGCTCAACCAACGCCGTGCTCGGGTTCAGTCTTCCCAATCGGATCATGTACCCGTTTTGTCGCTATTCGCTGAACTAAGCAACACGAGACCTCACGACCTGGCGCGAAGCCTAGTGGCAAGCTGCACTGCGCATCAAATTCATCGAAATTCTCGGAACGGAGAGAGAATGAACGCAGTTTTTTACCACTTTTCTAGTACGATTTATTTAGTTGGGAACATAACACGTATCAGCTGTTGGGGTTTCATCTAATCGGGAGCTTATATGTCGCTACAGTGACGTCATTGTGGAAACTTTCAAGCTCTCGATCGGATGAAACCGTGAACAGCTGATTTAATTCAAATGCACGTTTAAATAAATCCTAGTGTATACTTTGGTTTTTATACTTGGCGGGTCAAAACCTGTATTCATATGGAATACGTCGCGGCATATCGCTTCTTTCTCAGTAGTGCCGCTAGATGTCGCATGATCACGATTGTATCCAGCAGTGCTTGAATTAACTTTTTTATAATTTGTATGCTAATTTAATTTTCTGTGTGAACAATATTTAAAATACAAAGTAGGATTTGTTTAAAACATGTACAAATTTAGTTATATTGCAATAAAAACTCGAAAATCATTTTATTCATCTTAAATTCTAATCCCAAGTGTAAAATAGGTTTATAAGTGGATTAACTGGAATGTTTGGGCTACATAACATAATTGTGCAAAGTTGTGATATTTTTATTCACAAATACAAGGTCCATGTATTTGCACGTTTTGGTATTTTTACTACACGTTTTAGAGACTTTTACTGCCCGGCCGAAAATCCGGTCTTTAGTTATAACGAATAAACGCTTTTTTAAGGCCAGATAAGTGTGTAGAAGTTTAATAATTCAGATTTATTATTTAAAAATCAAGAGAATCCAAATTCAACAGCTGTAAGGAGCTTTATTTGCGTTTCAATGAGGTGCATTCACTTGCCATTTTTTCCTGAACTCTGCTTAACATCCTCACGCATTTTCAGATCCTTAATCTTTCTTTGAAGGAATTGAAGAATTAAAAATGAGGATTTGTCATAAGTTCGTATGTATGGAAATGCAATTGTTTGTTACTTCAATTCCATTTAATTTCATACCACAGTGTATTTATGGGATCTTGAAACGAAACACAATAAGAATAAGTAATTAATATTGTACAAAAAATCGCACATTTTATGCAAACAATTTTAATGTTAATCAGCATTTAATAATAACTTAGGGATAGAAAAATCCAGTAGGATAATAACAATAATTAATTACTAAAATAAAAATATATCTCAAAAATAGTAAATAACAGTAAACATTCTACATTACTTCTCAGTTTACTTGAGCATGTTTTCAAAACGTACACCTTCAACTAAATATCTCAATCTTCATAATTGTAGGAGAACGCCGAAAAACTTTGAAGCTTTCCAATGTTTGAAAAATCAGAGTTTTCAACGAAAATGAGACCTGAACCATACTCTTAAATGTCCTTTACACAATCTAACAACAAAATTTATACTAAAACTATGGAGCCATTTTTGAATATGTCCAAGAAGCTTCACGTAAAGTACCCCCCCCCCCAAATTAAAATATATTGATTTCAAATTCATGGGGACGCGACATCAGACGGGATCATGGGGACGCAAATTTAGCCGCTGGCGTTGTTCGGACACAGGCATAGACAAACGGACAGACGACTATCTATCTCTTCACATCTTACTATGTGCCTGATATATACATATGACCTTCATAGCTGATTAAATTCAAATTAGAAAGTGCCAAAAGTATTCAATTCAGGTTTGTTCCAGCAGCAGTCCGAAACAGTCCCGAACTAGTCAGCACATGCGCAGTCTAGTATTGGTCGTTCCAGCAGCAGCAGTCAGTGATTGTGATTGGGAGTTGGGCGTTCCAGCAGGGTTGCTGATTAGTTTGAAACCAGCCAGAAACAGAATCCGCAAACTAGAAATCCGCGCATTCGTACTTCGGACCCCGAATTCCCGCCAACGCCAAACTTCGACGACGCGCCATTTACGATTCCGTCAGGTTTCTGCAAATTTGTTTTGTGTTGCGCTCTATATATTTTGAACCTGCTTTGTTTTATTGATTCTTGATTTTTGGTGACTTCGATTTCTTTCGGATTTTTCTCGTGGATTTTGGAATTAGACCCTGCTTTATTTTACGTTTTTATTGATTCTTGGATTTCGGTGACGGCTATCTTTCGGATTTTCTTGTGGATATTTCTACATAGTCTTCGATCTTCTTGGGCAAAATGGTAATTAAATCTTCATACGAAGACATGGAAGATTGAGAAGAATCTGCTCAATTGCTATTATCGTTCATTAAAAAATCAATTAACCGAAATACAAAAGAATAATCAAAAACAATAGCACAAGTCACAGTTTACCAGGTTCAAAATCCGTAATTACTAGCGAGGTCAAAAAAATAATATGCGAGCTAATATGGAGAAACGTAAAGCGCAAGTAAATACCAGGAACTGACCAGGACCAGGTCGCTTTGATTTTCGCACGCGATACGAAAATGGTGACATCTGGCGGATAATTATGCAACTAGCGATGAAACGAATGCAGCGGCTCCTATAGACTGAACTTGAACTTGACTGATTCTTGAGCCTACTTGTTCCAGCAGATCCCAATCCGGAACTCATTTCCGACTAACTTGCACTCGCGCATGCGTAGAGAGCAAGTACGTAAAACTGGCTGTGATTGTTTGCTGGAAAAAACCTAATATTAAAGGGACAGAATATTTACACGAATGAGAATATGCGATACAGTTAATTGATATATTTTATTTCACTTTACTACATATCATTAATGAATCTTTTCATAAAGAAATGAACTATGTATTTTCCTTATGCCTTCTACTGTTTTTATTATATCATTGTTGCAGTAGTCCTCTTTCTAAGTATTGTTCAGAGTTGCTAATAGTTATTTTCGATATTAGTGTCGTAAAGTATCTGATTACAATACGAGATTTAAAAATTGCCTAACGAGGCCATTGGGCCGTTTGGAAACTAATTGAATATTTTCCAATGCTTAAAACGTTTTTGACGACAAACAATCTTGACGTCAATTTTAAACTTTTCAAGAATTCTGGTTCTAACAGTGTAAACGTACACTTCTCCTGCAATTATAGATTTTCCTATTAAGAAAACTTCATAGAAAAAGGCACATGTTTCGCTGATTCCTCTGTTTACACAACTGACTCAGTATATCTGAGAAAGAAGGCTGTTCTGTTTCAGGCAGACCCCTGTTTCAGTAGTTTAATCAACTTAATAGTTGTCTTTAGTCAGAAGATGTCCATTTGAGATCGTATGTGTGTTTCTGGGGTTCATAACATGACGTAAGTCTCGCGCTTGCTGTATGTTGCGACGTCAGTGTCGTGCCATGTGTCGTGCCATTGACGCCCCGAAGTTCGAGCAGCGAGTCCGGCTGGCAGCGGGCTGCCTATATGCTCCGGCGAACAAACAATTTAAAAAACATTTTATTGTGTGTCCCACTTAGGAATTTGACAGATCTACATAAAATTAGTATAGAACACATGAGTATTTTTTAAAATTAATTTAAGTGTCGACCTAATGTATGAAGTTTTATTTTAAAAATTAAATTATAATTTAAATATTTAGATAATATGTTTACAAAAATTATGTGTACATCACATAAAGGTACATTTTTTAAAAGTTGGTACCTGTGAGGATGACACGATATGATGGTGATAGGGGTAAAAGGACGAACACAATTACTATCAAGGCCGAGGCAGGAGCCTTCGGTCCGAGATCGCTACGGCTCTACTGCCTTAGCGATCTCGGCCCCTGAAAACCTTGTTTCCTCGCTATGATCGGAAGTACTCTGCGTAACGAAATCGAATTGACGGAAAAGAGGAATGCATTGTTGCATTGAATTTAAAGTTGATTTTATTTATTTGACAATAAAAACAATAGTATATAGCGTACGGAAGAACTGGGACATTTTCTTGAAAACCGGTATCAATACCCCTTCTCTTATACTACACTTCATTGAAATATGAATAATTAAATAATTCATAACGCAATTTGCAAATAATAAATTCACTCATAAACATCACAACATATGAATCACGAAAAATGATGAAAGAAATTAGTTCTTTCGAAATATTCCTCCATGTTTTTCTTGAAATATTCTCTTTTAAATTGTTCACTATGCACTGGTACAACAAATTAAAATATCAAATTAGTGGTGCTGAAACATCACGTATTTTCTCGCCGGTACTTTCGCGCAAAACTACGCGAAAAGAACTCAAATTTTCGAAAAATTGTACCTGGCGTTATTTCAAAATCTATCTTTATGGAACAGATTTCATTAAGGGAAAATATCTATTTTTAATATTTTAGTTGTAGGAAGACTCCGGAAAAATTATGAACTTTTGCCATCTCCGACAAATTAGGGTTTTCAACGAACATTAGACCACCTTCACACTATCCAATATCCTTCATACTATCAAACAACAAAATTTAATAAAAAATGATGGAGCCATTTCCTTGGAAATTTGGAAAATGTCCCAGGGGCTTCATGTAAAGTACCCCAAAATTTTAAATATCGGTTTCAAATTCAAGAGGCTGCGACATCAGCCAGGTCGATTGGGGAATATCAGTTTTGGAGAAAATCGGTTGAACGGTTTAGCCGCTAGCGTTGCTCACAGGCGGACAGGCAGCCAGATGGACAGACGTTTTGCCTTCATTCGATTTTTCGGTTTTGGAGGACCCCAAAACATGGATTCTTGCTACACCACCTGCTAGAGGAATTTTTAAATAAATTTTACAACTGAGTGTATGCACTTTTTCGTTATTAGGGCCCTGAAATAAAAATGTTCCTGTCGGAAACTCGCCTTCTTTCGCGCAGCATTACACAACTTTCTCTCTGTTCTGCAGCGAGAAAGTAAAAATAAATTGTCACTTATCAGTTATTACATCTTTCACAGCTTAAGCATGATTTAATATTTACCAGCGGTAGCAAGCTTGTTAATTTCAGAAAACAAATGGAGTAGAAATGTGTTGGAGAAAATTCACCCCAGCCGGGATAAGTACTAAGCTCCCGGGTAGTATTCCGACGCGTGGACTAGTGTACATACAAGTGTATGTAGCATGTGAAATTTGAGAGGATAGAACAAGGAAGAGGAAGGAAAGATCGCGTGCGATCTGTGGTCTGCTCCGGCATTCGCTTGGCAATAATCGAAGAAATTGCGGAAAACTGCCAACCAGAGCACCCAGGCGCAAGAATTATCGTCCACACAGCGACTGAATTCGATCTAGTTAGGTAGCTAGTGTCGAAAATCCGACACAGTCGGGACTTGAAGTCCAGGAACTCCCGGCCTGAAGTGCTGCAGTCAGCGGCAAGGCTGGATCTGCCCTTCATTCAGCCAGTACGAGAAATGGAATTTGCATATAAAGGATTGTGGAAATGTACTGAAAAATCAGAAACTCTCAAGATGAAACAATTCTGAGTCAAACTTCTACTTGTAATGCGGATCATAAAATTATGTGTAATTATAATAAAATTATGTGTAATTATAATAAAACTCGAGGACCAAATTCCCTTACGCGATCACTCCCATATTAATAATGATTTGAAACGTAATTATCCTTGATAATATTAATCAATATTAGAGTATTATGAAATGAGCACCTTAAGTTTGAAAATAAGAGTGTATTTTTGAAATATTGTCGAATATTTATTTCTTTAGAATTCAGTTTTCATTCTTTTTTTTTCTTTTTGTCTATTGGTGGAATCTCTTTCCATATATTCCTTGTCTCGCATTCTGTATAGAGAAAAGACTGTTATATCTTTCCTCTGTGTTTTCTGGTTTTTCCTTTTGTCGGAGGCTTCCTGGAAAAGTGGATATAGTAACTAAGGTTTGCGGCGAGGGAAAGGGGGGGGGGAGGGGAAGGGAGGGCGGAGGGCCGAGGGATTTAGGTGTAGGAATTAGAAGGGCTGTCGCGGCGCCAGTGTTCACTCCGGTCGCCGCCTTTCACGCATTGTCGGTTTGCAGGCAACAAGAGAGCTGTGGACAGTCCGCCCGGTCGATCCGAAGAATTCCTTTCAGCGACATGAATTTGTTAATCGACTCGTTGCCGTACCCGAAGGGTTCTATGGTAAGTTCCGAAATGTACAGAAACGCCTTGTTACAGTAAAGCTTGCTCAGTGCGGAATCTCAAGGAACCAGTATATTTTTTATTATAGAGGATTGGCGCATTGTGCAATGTAATAATGTAGAATTTATGTTTTTTGGGAGAGCGATTTAAGTTCACAATCGACAAGATTTACGCCTTATACAAGTTTCGCACTGCGCAAGTTTACCTTATAGCATTTAAAACGCCAAGAGATTTTGCTTAGAAATAAGATTGAGCTTCTCGATGGAATTTCGTGTTTTATTTCTTTACGTGAACGGTGGTGGACCTAGATATATTAGCGCTTGTTCTTATTAACATGTTTTATGGTAAAAACCCTTAATAATACCCTAAAATTGACAGAATGAACACTCATTTGCTGTCACTGGTTATTACGTCGTTTTCAAGACCAATTACATTGTGGAATTCAAATTGGTCTGGGTTATTTTGTAGTTGTTTTGTACAAGTAGGAATTACTCTATCAAAACCAGATGATGTTGTCCGAGGTTATCAATAGCAAATCCAATGATGAGCAAGTGAATAGAAACGTATGTTCGGCACTTGTTTGACGTATGTATCCATTTACAAATATTATTCATTTTTTATAATTGTATAATATATTCCGTTTTTGAGTGATGTTGATTAGCACTATTTCCTAACAAAGTCCACTACCGATACATGTGCAGATCTTGGTAATTATAAAAAAATTCAATTACATTTTCAGAACTTTACTCTTATGTTCAGTGAGTAGCAATTGAAATTTTCCAAAATTTGAAAACCTTCATTTCATTAGTCTTCGAGAATACTGAACGACATGAAGCAATATTTTTGGTCTTAGATTTTCTTTTCTAGTGGATATGCTGTACTTTTCTGTTGTTAATATTGTAGAGTGCTTTTTGTGTGATTTAACTTCTTAGGGGTTAGCGTTAAGTCTTTTTTGATTTTTTAAAGATTTAGTTACTTCGGGTTTCTTGTTTAATAATATTCAATGTAAAATTATGTCAATTTGAATGTTAATTTTTTGGTTTAGGCGTCTACCACTAGATACTCGGATAGATTAACTAATCTGTGTTATGGCTATCTTGGTAAATATGTGCCGTTTGGATTGAAAGTGTCGTGGATGGTGGAATTCTCACTAAAGGTTTGCAATTTTAGGTAAATTCCTCGGCGTTATCTGGAGTTCACTGGTTATCAAGAGCGAATTCATTTATGGTCTCAATGAGTAATTGCTGAGAACGGCTGTTTTTGAGATCAAATGCTTTCCATTAAGTATTTTTGCAAATAACGTTATAATTTCGAATATTCCTTTCGTATTTCTTGTCATTTTAGTTACGTGTAAATAGTCTGGAATGTCATTCGTAGTCGGAATGGGAGGTATTTGGAATGTTTTATTGGGTTGGAATTGGAAGTCTTCAGCATAAGCGCATGGTTTAAAGAGTGAAGATATCTGTAAACCCGTGGAGTTCTGTATTAAGTGTCCGTCAAAACAACTCTCGAATGTTTTTGTCTTTATATTATTTTATAAACTTGATCTTTTAAAAAATATCTCGCTGACCTCTCCGACTGAACAAAAAATTCCACTAATTTCTATGAAACATAAATACTTATGAATCACATGATTGTTATTTCTGTTATGTAATATAACAGGCATTTTAATAGGGTTTCTCATAGTAAAACTCCATTCAACGAATACCATTCTATTCAGAATAATTTATCCTTGAGAAGGATAAAACTGACGCCCTGATTAGCAGAGATAGCTAAGGCTGAAGGATCGTGGCTGCCTTGGCTTGAAGGGTCGCGGGTTCAAATCCCGTTCTGAGCATGGATGTTCTGTGTTGGATGGATGGATGTATGTTCCGCTACCACAAAGTTCTAAAACCGAAGTCAAATAACAATAGTCGGTATATGACCAGTGCAGTTGTGAAGTGACCGTTGATAAGTAAAACATTATAGAAACTTGGGGTTTTGTTTCCTGGATGATGATTAACACCTTATTCATTAATATCCAAAACGTATGTTTTATCAATTTTAATTTCTTAACTATAAATTGATTTGTTCAAATAAAAATAAGTTTCGAAAATACGATTTGCCATGGCAGTAATAAAAAGTATAGGATAACAATACTTAACGTAAGTGATAAGATTCCGGTCATTTTAATAGAATAATTATATATTCTGTAGTACTTAATTATGTGCAACATTTAAATAATTTTTTAAAGATAATCGGTATTAACTTAAAAACTCTAGCAAAACTGATTCCGTTTTACACAATTCAAATAAGTGATTAAATTGAAAACTACTTAAAGGTACAAAGTTGAGTGACTTCAGCGTCAGAGACCATTTCAGGAATTCGATTGCTTCTTTCTAGGGCTCGGATTCTGATGACATGCCCCCTTTTCATTGGTGAATTCTAGACATAATTAACTTGTAAATCAAGGTGTATCACGACATATAGATGATAGAAATGTATATTTATTGGATCGCTTTTCGACGTTGTTTTTATCTGACTTGAATTTTCTTGTTTTTCTTTACGAGGCTCTCTCTTCCAAAAATGTTATGGTAAGTTCAATACACGGAACTAATGTAGAATGTGTTCTTGGACCGAATACCTAGGGACTGGACTATTATTAATTCTGAGGAATGATTTGAAGGTCCAGATTAATGCAGGGAATATCCTCGCATACATATGTTTTATAAATTGGTTTATTTATTGGTGTCGCATTAAGGAGATCATGAGCGGCCTCTTGATTAGTACAGATAATTGACAATATTTAAAGTTTTTCTTAAAGTTAATAATTTCTCACGCGTAAGCTATTGCGATGTCGACACTTATTGAAGAGTCTCTTTAGAATTTTCGCCCACGTATTCAATTTTTATATTTTTAAGGTTTTATTTGTTTAATTCTATTCTTATTTAAAATGAAGCCAAAACATAACAAAATAATAGTTTATTTGATTCACTAATAGTAATTGTTTATTGATCTAAAATGCCTGTAACGTAGTAGAAAATCCAATAAATATTACATTGATAGTCTTTTTAATAATGTGAAAACAATTTTTCAACCACTTCTCTGTAGGAAAAACAAATTTTGCTTTCTACACATTCAACGGAACTTTAAAACGGCGAAGCTGCGGTTATCTGTAGGTCATTCAGATAATTTTAACGACCAGACTATTGGTATTATTTATACAATTAATTTCAGTAATCAGGAATACTGTACTTAAGAATGCTTTTAAATGGTACTAATTACGAGAGGTTGTTAAGCAAATACAAAAGTTTGACATCGTTGTTGATTTAATGCGTAATTATTGTATTTGAGGTACTTTTTTAACATTTTTCTTAACGTGTTTCTTTCAAGGAAACCACAGGTGAGAGAATAGCATTTTGTGATTGAAGCATATATATGAAGACTAACAACGTCATATCTCGTAGCGTTGGCGCTAGTGAAGCTGCAATCTTGCACTCGCATCTTGCCATTTTTATGTCACTACAGATTCGTGGTGTGTCAGTATTATAAATGGTTATTTATGAACCTCTTTATTTTCAATTTCTGTTGAGCTTTGGCAATTGCTGAATTATTTTCATCAAGATGGATCTTTAGTGTTAGGATGTAATATTTCAAATTTGCGACATAAGGAAAATGAAATTGGAATTGCAGTAAACCGGTTAGTTCTTCCCTTTTTTGTGCTTTGTGCTCATGGCATTGGTAATTTAGCTATTAAAGGCTGTAGTAGAATAAGGGAGGAGTCAAGTGCCCCCAAGCACAATTTTGTTTTGAATAGAGGGCATGTTTAGTGTTATGAAAGTCATTTTTCCAAAATCTCAGGACGACATTGTGCTTATTTTGCAAGATATCAGAAAAATACAAATTTTCAATATTTGATTTTTCATATGATTATTTGGAGGTAAAACTTAAAAATATAAGACATTGTTGACATCTACACGATTGCCTGGAAATTAAATTTTAAAACAATATTAAATTACTTCTCCAAAAAAAATCCTACACATCGGTATTAACATGTTCTTTTCTATTTTTTTTTTTTAAATATTCTAATTTTGCGTCGCATTATAAGTTTTCTTCGTCATTTATAGGTATATAACTTGTAAGTTAAATTACTTTTCTACGGAAAAATACTGTTCAGGATGAAAATCATAGTCTTGCCATTAAAAAATTTTGCGGATTATTTTTGGCGCCAAATTCAAATTTACAAAAATAAAATATTTAAATACAGTTTTAACATGTTTTCGTGACCTGTTTTGATGTAAAAAAAATGTTAATGTTATTGAACGCATCCATATAACATTGTAACAGGTATACGCTTCTCTTGGATGGCCCAACGTCGTCAATGCACCCTCTGCTAAACAATGGTGCCATCTGGGTACAGAATCTAGATTAGTGATTACGTATTATGAGTTATATACGTATAAATGACGAAGAAAAGTAATTATTTTTTTTGAATATGACACTCCATTAAGAAAAATTGAAGACAAATGAGTAGTAAAGAACACCTTAATACCGATTTGTAGGAATTTTTGGAATCACCTCAAAAATAAAACAGAAAAATAACAAATAATAATTAAAAAAAATGAATTTCCCGGCAAAAAAAATCTGATACGAATAGATGTCAACTATGTTCCAGAATTTTGTTTCAGAATTTTATCTCAGAGTAATTAGAAAACGGAACTAGTATTTTTGATACTTGCAAAATAATCAGGCTGTTGTCCTGAGATTTTGGGAAAATGAATTTCAAAATAACACTAAATATGCCCTCTACTCAATATTGAATTAAGCTTGGGGGCACTATTACTCTCCCCTAATTCTGCTACAGCCTTTGTGTCAATTGATTATTTATGTTAAGATTGTTTGATTAAACTTGCTAATTAGAATATCAGTAGAAGAAACGTTTTGTATATTCTAATGCCCCTGCAGTGCGTTTTGTAATTCAACATAAGTTCTAATGCATTCTACTTTTGTTCTGACTTAAT